AACCCATTCTTCTCTCCCTGGACAAACATTTTACCATATTTGCATTGTCTGCATTCCAGTTTCTGTGGGTTCTTCTAGTGTCTATCATTTCACTTTATTTGAATAGGTATCACATCTTCAGTAATCTAGCACTGATCCATGCAATTGCATATAGTCTATACTTAACACTAGTACTTAAAGCCCTCTCACAGTTTCCTATACCTTGTATCAACTTCTTGCTCCCACTGCAATGACAAGTGCACTGAACTACTGGATTGCCTTGTCAAAAATATTAGCATTTATTCTAACTAATATTTCCTAACAATTGTCACATACAACTGGATCCTTAGCTGTTCCATTTACATCTAGTATGTGGCTTTTGTTGTGCTGAAATGTGTATTGCTGTTCTTCCATTTATTTTTGTGCAATAATACCCAAATTAAAGAAAGATAAGAGTTGTAACTTCCTGTAAATCAGTAACTTTCCCAGGCTAGGTTGTAGCAGACCAATTGTCATTTGTCATTGGGTAATGAAAGTCAGAATAGACTCCACATTAAATGGAAGAAAATATCGCTAATCCTAGGAAAGTAAAGAAATGAATATTGAACACTTGACAGTAAACTTTTGACTTTCCCTTGATATCATTTTATTTCTCACCTAATTTCTGAAGCCCATGAAACACACATTGGCTGAGGAAATATATTCACACCTGTTGCCAGCAACCACAGGAAGCACAAGATATTTGTTTGAAATTTCTATTGGTTATAACTAGAGAAAACCATCCAAATAAGTGTAGAATTAATTACATATATTCTTAGAATTACAACTTTATTGGTCAACTTAGCAATTGTGATCATGAACTAAAATTTGTGAGCAAATCCTTAGTTATATGAATAATAACCCAATGAGCTAAGCGTTATAGTACTGAACACTATTATTTGTTAGCGAAACGAATTTCGAGTTATGCAATTCATAACTTAAAGTTCAAAACGCGCTTTATTGAAGTTCACCAAATAGACTGGTTGAAGATAGTCTTTGAGAGCACAAAACAGAAATGAAAAATATAACTCGGTACTCACTGCAATGAGTGACAGAGGGTGCATTTTCTCATTGACAAAAACAAAGTCACGGACAGATGGACGGACATGATGAGTACAATACCTAGCGCTTTGCCCGTAAATGAGAAAATACACTAAAAAGCAAACCTTGAATTTTATTGCATTGGGATATTCATTGATGAGTTCGTATATAGAAATGTCGATTTGATACTGTCAACATTGAAGCAAGAAATTCTTGTTGAATCTATTAAAACTCACCACAAAACACAATTTACCTGAACGTGGCCAGAAAAAAATGATGTTGCCTCCTGACAAGCGACTATAGACAAGCGTTTTTACATTATTAAAGTTGATAAATAATGAATTTAAACAGTGTCGGAACAATAAACAAAAATCTTGAATACCGTAGCTTCAGATAATTATTCAATTCAAAGCAATATTATTTTTTATTCTGAAATAAAAAAATACTGATACAAAAATCTTATTCTACTCTGAAATAAAAACGTAGTTAGTTGAATGAAATGATGCCCCAATTGTGGGTATGAACTATTAATTTAGGTTTAATTGTTAGGGTATGCTGGTCACATGGATTTGGTTAAATGTGCGGGGACTGACGTGACCATGAGCTTAGATCACAACTCAATTGTTATGGCCGAACCTTGTATCAACCTATTAAATGGAAGAAAATATCGCTAATCCTAGGAAAGTAGAGAAATGAATATTTAACACTTGGCAGTAAAATTTTGACTTTCCATCAATATCATTTTATTTATCACCTAATTTCTGAAGCCCATGAAACACACATTGGCCGAGGAAATATATTCACACCTGTTGCCAGCAACCACAGGAAGCACAAGATATTTGTTTGAATCTTCTATTGGTTATAACTAGAGAAAACCATCCAAATAAGTGTAGAATTAATTACATATATTCTTAGAATTACAACTTTATTGGTCAACTTAGCACTTGTGATCATGAACTAAAATTTGTGAGCAAATCCTTAGTTATATAAATAATAACCTGCAAAAAGTTGGAAATTTAGTTTTTCTGATTGATAAGTTTTTTCCTTGAATACTACATAGTCACAAACTTGAGAAACAAACCATGTCAATTTGAGTTAGAATAAAAATCACCCATCAAAAAATTGTCAATACAGTACTAGGCCCTCCAACTTGTTCTATAGTAATTTAGGACCTATTGTAATTCTATGAAAAAATTTTGATTATCATTATCTCTTTCATGTCAAAATCAATTTAAGGAGTTTTCTGATTCTGTCTTGATTTCTGGGTGCTGTTTTAAATTTTTTTGTCATTATTGCAAGAGGAATAAACTAAACCATTTTTTAGTACAAATTTTATGCCAGCAGTGTCTAAACTTTGTTTACCATTAATTAACTTTGGTATTAATTTATCATGTTAATTCAACATGTGTTTTTCATAATTTTGCATAATTGAGGTTCCTAACTCAAAACTACTAGCTGTACAGGCCTGACAGTTTTTGAGTATATACACTATTAGTACTCATGAGGTTTGCTACAAATTTCACAAGGACAAGTGCAATTCTTCTAAAGATGTGGGGAAATACTGAGAAATAATTTCTTTGAGTACAAGATTGTATTCTACTTTTAATTGATCATGGGTGATGTTATCCTACTAATAACCTTTGTATGTCATTATAAGGATAATTTTTTTGTCTTCAATATAAGATTGTGCCCTTCAATATAATTATATATTTCTTGACATTGTACTCAGATTTTAGTGGTAAAAATGAGATTACCTATATCTGTGGAACTTGAATTGGGTAATTTACCAAGACATACAATTGCTTCATAGATAAATTCTGATATGACTTTAAGTAAAATGAGAACTTGAAGTCTATTTAAATGAAATGAAGCTTGCATAATTGTCTTCAATGCCTTCTAAAACAGTTCATATTATATTTTATGACATCATAAATTTAATATAACTCTTTATTACCTACCTGTAAATTGTCAACTAATACAAACCAAGAAGCAGATGTGCCTGATATCTCCTACTGTTACTTGAGTTAAAGTGAGATTTGTGGAGTGCAGGAGGTTGTGAGGGCGAGTGTGATCAGGAAGCCCCTTGGTCCTGGCAACTTGGCCTATGATGCTTACAATAATTCCTTGTTTAAATCCAAGATTATTACTGTCAAGTTATCATGATACTTGCTGTGGCTCAGTTCATGATCAGAAATGTTCTGTATTCTTTGTTAACATAGAGCAATTTTCTTTATTCTATTTATTAATGAGAAGTTTATCGCAATCTGCTATGCATTAGTCAAAGTTTATGTGTTGGAAGCCATGCACCACGAATATATAGGGGCTGATGGTATGCATGTCCACAACACTGTGAATGTGGAGGTGTATATAACTGTTGTGTGGAGGTGTAATATAGACCCAAAAATTTGTTCTCAGTTGTAGAATAATGCGGTGTGTTTGGGAGGAGTGAGTTGAATTGAAAATTGTAATTTTGTTTTAGATTGTGCATTTATACAGTAACTTTTAAAAATACTATTGAGTTTTTTCCTAGTTGAAACTAGAGTCAAATGAGAGTTTAGTGTTATAGGTAAAATGTGAGGTTGAACATGCAATTATTCAAATAGCATTCATTGGTATTTATATTCTCATTGACAGTATTTGGGATACTGTACTAGTCTTTTTTAATTCCAATTATTGTAGATTTTGAATGATGAAGGGGAAGAAAAATATGTTGAGTCCATTTGTAGAAATACAAGATTCCTAAATGATTTGATGCCCTGGGCCTATAGTTTCAAAAAAGTTAAAAGATTATCTTTGAATTATCTTTATTTATCTTTGTTATTTATCTTTATTATTTATCTTTATTCAATAACATCAGAAAATAGCTTATTTCACTGAATAATATATTTCTTTTGCTTGTGCTCACCAAACTCTCATTTCAGGCTGAAGAAGCATATGCTTTTTTGTGATTCACAATCAATTACTGATTAAATATATCAAGGCTATATAGGTATAATTCTACAAGTATCAGATTTTTAAGATAGCTCTGGGTGTTGTTCTGATATTTAGCTGAAAACTTCTCTGCATCAAGTCTCCTTCACAGCCCGCACTAACAATGGCAAGAGTAAGTTTGCTAAATCTTAACCACATTTCATTGTGATGAGAATCATTTTTCCTTTACTATGTCCTGTGTGCCAGAATATTAGTAGTATAAGAAGTAACATGACTGGAAGCCATAGGTTCATTCAGTAACAGAATGGACAAGGCATTAGGAAGATGACTGATCTGGCCACCTTTAATGTTGGTCTTGTGTCATGGCTACATTTGGTGAAAGCCAGCAAATTTCCTTGTCGTAGGCAAGGATTCTGTTGATATTTATTGTATAATGTACTTCTTAATTTTGGTAAATAACTTCTTAACAATATAAATAATTATCCCCTTGCTGTTTTTTATATTTGCAATTCGGCACATATGTATCTCATTTATCATTATTGTTTTTCCTACATAACTGGTTGCATTATTGATCAATGAGCTACCACTTCTTTCTCAATACATCAGAATATCAGTTTAGGACTGTTAAATGGAATGTAATGCTACATAGATGATTCTTCCCTGCTCTCTTCTCTTGTTGTACTATCTACTTTACTTGGTGGCTTTTGAGATCATTCTCAAGCTTGGTTCTGCATTCTCGACTCTGCTCGAGATGTTGGGTATAGCAGCATATGGCACATTGAATTATTAAGCCAACTAATGAATTCTTCTTAACGTTGCTAGGGTTCATGGATTTTATTAGGCACTTAACTGCATCTACCCAGCTTACTTAACACCTGTACCAATTTTCAACAGAGTCTTGTGGCACTGAACATTGAGCTCGGGCACACTGCCCGGGTGCTGCAGCATGTAACTGAAGAGGGCTTCACCCACGAGTGGAGTGTGTGGGTCAGGGGAGAGAATGATCGCAGCCTCGCTGATGTTGTAGAGAAGGTTGTCTTCACGCTGCATGACAGCTTCAAGAGGCCCAAGAGAAGTGAGTTCTTGTCTTTCATCATTTGCAATGCATTTTATTTCCCTGCTGTATAAACCTGTGCCAATAGTGCCATTTGGAAGAGATTCATTGTTGTTTGTAATAAAATTCATACATGAGCTGTAAGGACACAGCTGAGTCCACTTGTGAAGATGCAGATTCTTTTTCATCTTTGCGGAACCATTTGTTCCTAGCAAAAGATCAAGTTCACTAGAAATGGAAAGTAAGAATTGTACCTTCTTCTGTGTATCCACTTGACATTTTGATCAAAAATTACATTTTAAAATATCTTACAATTTCGCCAATTGAAAAGTTAATAACATCAGATGGTGCAATTTGTTCGGCATTGAGCATGTTTGGGGTGTAAAAACTTCACATAATATATAAATAACATCCACCATTTAGAAGTTTCTGTGCAATACTGTTATGAGAATTTAGCCATGGACCATTTATCAGTCTTTATAACTTCTCAGTATCTGTGGATCCAGCTATGCACTTTGATCCAATTTCATAGCCGGCAGTGTTTAAAATAGTTTTCTGAAACCAACAGCTTCTGTCTTGATACCTTCAATTGCATTATCCGTTTCTTGTTCACTTGCCGTGTGCATGCTGTCTAATTGTATTTTATTTGCCCTTCCAGTCCTCAAGACGCCTCCTTTCATGATCACTGAGAAGGGGTACGGAGGATTCTTTTTACCTGTTGAAGTTTTCCTGCAGAACAACAAACAAATGAGGTACTTTGATTAAGTCCAGTCGAAAATTTATTAAATACTCATTTCATACCAACCTTCTACCTAATAGATATCTTACCAAATGATCAATAGGTAGAAGTAAGCAGGGTGTCATAGTTGCCTGTGTGTAAAACGTGCTTATATTATGAGTATTGCTTGTGTTACCTGAATAATGTTTGTTGGCGCCTTTAAAGCATGCCTCCAATGTGCAGGTTTGAGTATGACCTGTCCCTGCAAGACCTCCATGCACCGCCAATTACCCTCACCCGATGCGAACGCCTCACGTTCTACAACCCCCAAGAGGAGCTAAAGAGGAAGCTCCTGGCAGCAGGAGGCGTAAGCCTCACTCCCTACGCTAGAGTAGCGCCTCTAATTGCCCCTGGTGCAGCGTCCAGACAACGAGCGGCGGTGAGTGGTCATGGTGGTGCAGGTGATTGTAGGGTGCAGGTGATTGTAGGGTGCAGGTGATTGTAGGTTGCAGGTGATTGTAGGGTGCAGGTGATTGTAGGGTGCAGGTGAT